CACACACACACACACACACACACACACACACACATATATATATTAGGTGTAGTACAAAGAAATCCATTATTTTTCCATTCAATTTCATGCAAAAATAATGGATTTCTTTTTACTACACCTAATATATTATTATATTATTATACTATATTATCTTTTTATGAAATTTGTTTGAATCGTAAAGAATTTCAGTGATTTTATTTCTTGAAATATGAATTTTTCCTTCTGAATAGCCAAATTTTCGTCCTGTATAGTAAAATAGTGACGATCGGATAACCCGCAGATACGGAAGCCCCCATCATAGCCGATCACAGTCGGTAAAGGCTCCCGGGAGTCGTTCTTCCGGTCGACCGAATTATCTCTGTCTTCCGCAACAAAGATCGCGAGTAGCGAGTATGCCTAACACCGGGGTGGAGGAGGAATATTACAGACTACGGCATTTCAGCATCACGGGCAAAGGGGTGGTAAACCGAGGCGATTCCCTAAAGAGCCGCAGATCACGTTCTAACAATAGCATGGCGTCCAGCAACTCTAGGTGAGTTCAAGCATAGTTAAGAAGGTCAAGTAATACAATTTGACATATATTTTTGTAATATATATGAGCTGGTAAGTAATGTATGTTCCAATCTAAGACGTTTGAATGTTAATTTCAAACACTCACGCGCGCAAATGACGCAGACAATTATAATATTGTCAGATCTTATAATCTTTGTATTTAAATAAAATATCAAAATCGTGATAACTTTTTTAATGTCTAACCAGTCACGTTGTAGATTCGTATTAACTATTAATAACAGATTTATAGTTCTGATATATTTCTGAATCTTTTATTATTACTGTCAACGACAAATAATGATCTCTACTGAATATTTTCGCGATATATTCTCTGTATTCTCGCAATGTATAAGAATTTTGCTTCAAAATTGTATTGACAAGAATGTAATTCTTGTTAACATGGTGACAATAACATGGTAACAATAGCGACATCGGCACGATCGATACATTCACTTATTACCTACTCTACGATCGAGCGGTGATATTTGCGATTGTAACTTCATCTGCTCACTGCTCTGGAAGGAGCATACCGTAGAATATTTCCGACCTCTATCTCCGGTCCGTCTTCTCGTCGCAGCCAGCAGCGAGTTAGACTGTCGCTCTAGATCGAACGCGTGAGTTTACGTGTGGCGTTGAAGTTACGTAGACACGCGCGTTGGACCTTAGAGCGTGGTCTTCAGACATCAATATGCATACTGGAGCTCGACAGGGTATTCCAAGCGCAGTTGGCATAAAAAAGCATGTAGAGATATAAAATATTATATTTCGTACTTGCTCTTCGGAAAATTCCTGTATTTGCATTTCGAAATAATATTGCACTTTCTGCATGAAATATTCTTCGCAAAGTATGCTCTCATTTGTATTTTGTATTTGAAATATTTTTTATTCTAGTTTTTAATCTCGTGTAATGTTCAATGAAATCAGTATATCCATTGAAATAATTTAATTTTACATAAATCTACACTTTCAGTAACCTGTTATACCTGCTTATTGTAGGAAACAAGTCGTTAATTTTATTAGTCAATAAATTGAAGAATACAAGTAAAAATTTATAAATTCATTTTTGGTTATACAGTTACGAATTACATTTTTGTACACTCTTTTGCTATAATAAAAAAAATATTATCCGATATCATATTTAATTTTTGTATAACTTAATTTTAACGCTAATATTTCACAATATGAAATAGCATATATTTAATAAAGAATATAAAGAGAGACATTATAATGTCTCTTTTGCGAGGATATATTTCTATATGACTCTCTTGGCGCGAGACGTCATTTTATAAGCTTTGTAGATTCGTATTAACTATTAATAACATAGATTTATAGTTCTGATATATTTCTGAATCTTTTATTATTACTGTATGTTGACAAATAATGGTCTCTGACCATTGAATATTTTCGCGATATATTCTCTGCATTCTCGCAATGTCTCTTTATAAGGGGAAGTCGCCTATATCGTATCCCTTAACATTTAAACAAAATTATAACAAAAGTACTGAGGAAATCAGAATATTTTTGTGCTTTGATTCATTGGCAATAGAACAATATTTTTACGGAAATAGATATTGAAGTATTATTTAAAATGAAAGTTTTAAAAAAGTAGCTTTAGTTCGACTTGAGAGACTGAGTTGTTAATAATCATTAGTTTTTACAAAGAAAAATCTAAATTTTCTAAAAATCCAATAAATAATATCTATGAATAATTTTTAGTAAGCTATCTATCTTAAAAAGACTCAATACAAACATACTTTTTCTTATAACACAAATATCAAAATGTAGTAATTATAAAAGTATTATTCAATTACGCAATTTTCGTATGTTATCTTAAATGTATATTTTATCTTAAAGTAGATAGAATATAAAGACCAACATTCATTTCTATTTTTACAAATTTGCTAACAACAACATAACTTAGGTACAAATATTTTGTTAATTTGATGCTCTATTTGAAAAGAGCTCTATTTTAAATACCAATTATAATCTTGTAGTATACTATAATTCAATTACTCATCTTGTACTGATAACATCTTAAATTGATAAATTGTACGAAACTCAGATCAAACAAAATCACCAAACAAAATCAATTTTAAATGTCACTCGTAACGTCGCAAACAAAACAAAAATGCCATATTAGCGTTACAGCGTCTGTGTCGTCACCTTTAAGAAAAACTCTTTCATCTAGAAAATACAATGTACGATTTAAACCTCGATATTTATAACAAATTCGGCAGACTGCGCACCGAGTGCGAACATTTTTCAGTTTTGCCACACATTTAGCTTGTACGCACTGCATTCAGATCAGATATTGTCATATTCGGCACATGAAAATTACTTTACTTACCAGTAACTACCAGTAGTGCTGAATTTATATTCAGACCGAACGAATGAACTGAATGAGTTGAAGAAATGTTGTACTGACAGTGCAGTTTTGGCATAGCACTGAAGTGAGTGGTTTTACAATCGCACTATGTCAAGGCAAGAGCAGAGTCAATGCATATGTGCCGAATTCGCCTTTAGCTAATTCTACTTCCTCTCTGATATGATTAAATATGATACGAAATATAACTAACGATTGTAATATTTTTTGTAAAATTTATTTTTAAAAAAATTTATTAAAATTTATTTCGTTTGTATATATTTAAATTTATTCATACGCATTTATGCGTATAAATTCATATCGAAGTTCAAGCCTAAGACTAAGATTCAACTTATACCGCATAGACTTTTTGTTAAAATTGGTATATTCACGGTCTTATGATCACTTTGTTTATATATGGCATATTAGGTTTGTTTATAAGACAGTGGTACATTTTTTATTTTTTAGAAGCTTGAAAATATCTTTTACGAAAAAGTAGGACAAGTGGAATTCAAATGTCACTCGAGAAATTTACGTTATGCAGAAAAGATGAAGAGATATCCGAGCTCGCATACAATATAAAAAGATAGTTTTATCTAAACTGTAACAGAGAGAATCAAAATAATTTTATAGTCTAACTATAAATATGTTACGTATTAAATTTATGTAAACTTTTGACATGCACAGACTATATAAAAGAATCTTAATTTCTTTTAAAAGAATATGTATTTCCATATAATATAACGTATCGTAAAATATTTGTATGTAACAGCGCTTGATATCGAATCAAACGAATTAATAAAACACAGAGTATCAATGACTCAGATAATTAGACGTCTCACTATAAGCGCCGATCTTATTACAATCATATTCTATCGATCGAAGTATGAAACGTTGAATATTCACGTGATTGAATAAATCTGTTATTAAGATACTTTTCTCCTTTCTAAATACTGTCGAGTTTCATATATATATAGATATATATA